AAAGGAAAGGAAAGGAAAGGAAAGTCAAATATCCATTTCTCTGCCAGCAAAGAGAGCTGTAATTATTTCTGATTTGTGTCAGCATTTAACAACCAACATGGAATCTCTTTTTCCTCAAGGATGCGATATAAGCCCAAGGAAAAGATCACTGAACATGAAGACGGCACCCTGTCTTACTTCCAGCGAAACATTTTTCTTTTTGAACCTGAAATGTCCGTTGGGACAGAAAATGATAATGTTACCACTGTCAACCTTGCTGTTGTGGTAAGCAAGACGCTCCCATAAGATTCCTGTCCCCTTGAGTACAGGTAGTCCTCGTCTTACAACAGTTCATTTAGTGACTGTTCAAAATTACAACGCCACTGGAAAAAAAATGACTTACGACCGTTTTTCAGTCACGACCTTTGCAGACCTCCCCAGGGGTCACGTGATCAAAATTCAGACACTCGGCCACTAACCCGTGTTTACGACGGTCGCAGTGTCCCGGGGTCACGTGATCCCCCTTTTGTGACCTTCTGACAAGCTAATGGGGGAAGCCAGGTTGACTTAACGACCCTGTTATTAACAACTGCAGTGGTTTACTTAACAACTGTGGCAAGAAAAGTTGTAAACCGGGGCAACACTCACTTAAGAAATTTCTCACTTAGCGACGTAAACTCTGGGATTAATTGTGATCGTACGTACGTCGAGGACTACCTGTGTTGTAATAACAAATCGATAAGCAGCTGGACTCGGGTGGTCTCCGTATCCTACAAGGATCTTCTCCTTTAACCATTTATTTGAGGCGAGAAAGAACTGGAGACGAGAACAAAATACAAAGACCTACAAATAGAAATAGAAAGACTGTGGCTCTTCTCTGCACTCTTTCTAGGAAATCCTGTCCAGTGTCTTTTTAAAATTCCCCCAGTCAAGGAGCACCCACAACTTCTGGAGGCAGGTTGTTCCACTGGTTAATTGTTCTCACTGTCAGGAAGTTTCTCCTTAGTTCTAGGTTGCTTCTCTCCTGGATTAGTTTCCATCCCTTGCTTCTTGTCCTGCCTTCAGGCGCTTTGGAGAATAGCTTGACTCCCTGTTCTTTGGGGCAACCCTGAGATATTGGAACACTGCTATCATGTCACCCCTATTTCTTTATTATTATTGTTATTATTGTTATTAAACTAGACATACCCAATTCCAGCAACCATTCCTTATAGGTTTTAGCCTCCAGTCTACTGATCATCTTCTAGTCCAGCCCCTTGCTCAACCCTATACTATTTCAGACAAGTGACTGTCCAGTGTCTTTTTAAAATCCCCCAGTCAAGGAGCACCCACAACTTCTGGAGGCAAGTCGTTCCACTGGGTAATTGTCCTCACCATTAATTGTCCTCACCATCATCTACCCGTCCTGGGTAATTGTCCTCACCATCTTCTAGTCCAGCCCCTTGCTCAACCCTATACTATTTCAGACAAGTGACTATCCAGTGTCTTTTTAAAATCTCCTGGATTAGTTTCCATCCCTTGCTTCTTGTCCTGCCTTCTGGTGCTTTGGAGAATAGCTTGACTCCCTGTTCTTTGGGGCAACCCCTGAGATATTGGAACACTTCTATCATGTCACCCCTATTTCTTCATTATTATTATTATTATTATTATTATTATTATTATTATTATTATTATTATTATTATTATTATTATTATTATTATTATTGTTGTTGTTGTTGTTGTTGTTGTTGTTGTTGTTGTTGTTGTTGTTGTTGTTGTTGTTGTTGTTGTTAAACTAGACATACCCAATTCCAGCAACCGTTCCTTATAGGTTTTAGCCTCCAGTCTACTGATCATCTTTGTTGCTCTTCTCTGCACTCTTTCTAGACTAGAGTCTCAACATCTTCTAGTCCAGTCCCTTGCTCAACCCTATACTATTTCAGACAAGTGACTATCTGGTGTCTTTTTAAAATCCCCCAGTCAAGGAGCACCCACAACGTCTGGAGGCAAGTCGTTCCACTGGGTAATTGTCCTCACCGTTAAGAAATTTCTCCTTAGTTCCAGGTTGCTTCTCTCCTGGATTGGTTCCCATCCCTTGTTTCTTGTCTTGTCTTCTGGTGCTTTGGAGAATATGTCATTATATTTATTCATTTTAAACTATTATTTAACTGTGATGCTCGTCTCATGGTATTGACATTAATCAAATTCCTTAGTACATATTAAGTATGGAAACTGTAAAACATTCTGTGATTTGATCAGATTTATAAGATTTAATTCAATCCGGTTATGAAACGTTTCCCTCTGTTTCCATCCCGGTATCAAAAGTTTATTAACGTATTTGCGTTTCCTGCAGGCTGCACCAGTTTTGTATCCGGATGTAGTTGGCTTACTGAATATGTTTATACAACAATCAAAATCAAAATTTCTCCAAACTAGAACTGTGAAAGAAATACTTTGGGGCTATGAAGATCCTTTCCTGAAATCAATTCCAATACAAGGCATTGATAAAGTTGTTGGAGTATTCTATCCTGTAAGTATAAACTCAAAGGTCCAGTGTAAGTATAAACTCAAATTGGTGGGAAGTCAGCCCCCCCCCAGAGAAAGAAATATTAAAAGGGCAGAAAAATATATTTTCTCAAAGGATCTTAAAGAGGCAGAAAAGCATGCCCAGTTTTTCTTAATAGCCCCAAGTCTCCCTCCCCCAAGCAGAAACCAGCTCTGTAGAAATGCAGATGTAATAATCCATTCAGGAAGGTTGGAGGCCTCCATCTTCTCATCTTTCCTACTATCTTCTCCTATTGGTTTCTTATGATTTATTAATGATTATTTGTAACTTATCATTAATGATTGTAACTATGATTATCATCTATGACTTATCGTCTTGTTGCTTTTATGTATACTGAGAGCTTGTGCGCCGGAGACAAATTCCTTACGTGTCCAATCACACTTGGCCAATAAAGAATTCTATTCTATTCTATTCTACTCTACTCTACTCTACTCTACTCTACTCTACTCTACTCTACTCTACTCTACTCTACTCTATATTCTATTCTATTCTATTCTATTCTATTCTATTCTATTCTATTCTATTCTATTCTATTCTATTCCATATTTTCTACTCTATTCTATTCCATATTTTCTATTCTATTCTATTCTATTCTATTCTATTCTATTCTATTCTATTCTATTCTATTCTATTCCATATTTTCTATTCTATTCTATTCTATTCTATTCTATTCTATTCTATTCTATTCTATTCTATTCCATATTTTCTATTCTATTCTATTCTATTATCAAGTTATTTTTGGTCTGCAAAAAAGTGTCTTTTATGGGTGTTTGAATTTTTTTTTATTTTCCACCCTCCTGGGAACTTGAACATCTAAATTAACTAGCATTATTTCAGAAGTGAAAGGATTAGGTTTCAAATATTCCATTTTTCTGCAACTGATTTCGGGGATATTTTGCATGCATTTTGAATTTATCCTGATCCATCATTTTATATACATGTCGATATCTTGATAGTTTTATGGCTGTGATTGCCTCATAATTTCAACCTTGTTTTTGACAACGTGAAAAGCGGAAAAATGGGAGGGTGGATAGGAACTGTAAACGTTGGCAATTTTTTCATGATCAACATTCAGAACATGGCAATTAGAAATTCTAATTATTGCAAAAGTGACAATGCTAATTCAAAGGCAGGAGGAAAAAATGGAATAATTATTAAGGAGGTAGAAATATCAATGCCCATACACTACTTTCATCTTTGTCATACAAGGCAATATTAAAATATTGATCAATTCCATATCACCATATTGAGGTTCCTGGGAGTTTAGTGAATTGGGTTATTTTTAAAAGACACGAATGCTTTATCTAAAAGTTAACTCAGGGCATCTTCAGAAAGTTTTTGTTTCCTGAACTGTGACCAAAAAAATTCCTTGTTTGAATTTTTAGCCAAACCCTACTTCAGAAATGATGGTCCCCATCTCCTAGGTACAGGAAAAAAAAGCCTGCTAAAATCAGAAAATTAAGAATGTTAGACATAATTTAGATTTTGGACAGTAGATTTTTAAATACTAAATACTAAAAAAAAATCATCTTAATGATCAAGATGAAAAATATGATTTCCTGTTCTGTCTCTTTTCTCTCGTTCAAGTTCAATGACACATCTGATGGCCCTTACCGAATTTACAGTGGGAAAAACAATATAAGCCAGACGGGAATTATACACAGTTATAAAAACAACAGGTATACAATATTTGGGAAGAAGCAGCTATATTTATTTATTTTCAAAATTTACAACGGTTTAGTTTAGCATTTACGTTCTGTTTTGTGAACTCTTGCAGGATCTGTCTTTTTTATTATATACATATATATATATATATATATTATATTTGTTTTCTGAGGTTTTCGCGGGTGTTTGTATGTAGGTCTTTGGTTATTCGGGTTTTCTCCCGTGTAAAATTGGAAGTGTCTTGGCGACTTGGGACTTCGTCGAAACGTCGCCAAGACACTTCCAATTTTACGCGGGAGAAAACCCGAATAACCAAAGACCTATATAAGTCCTTGACTTATGGCTAAGTGAGAAGTTTGTTAAGTGAGTTTTGTCCCATTTTGTGAGGTTTCATGTCACGTTTGTCAGCTGAATCACTGCAGTGGTTAAAATTAGTCGCACGATTGTTAAGTGAGTCTGGCTTCCTCCGTGTACAGTAGTGGCCAAAATTGTGGAAAACATTTGGGAAAAGTGTACAGTAGAAATGCCACCTTTGGTTAGGTTTCCACCCATTTTTATTCTAATTTCTTTATAACTGTAGCCTTCTTCACTTAATAATACTATTTTACATCGCTTTCTGGGCAACCAGTCAACTCTTTGCACCATTACTTTAATTTTATTATGTTTGACAAGCTCACTGAATGAAAGAACACAAAAAAACCCCAACCAACTTGATAACGATCAAGTAACATACTGACACATGTCCTCCTCTCAGCTTCAATACGTGACATCAATTACAGAATCCTACCGTGATCCAATTGGCTCATTGCCAAAACAATATGACACCTGATAGGCTCTCTAAACACTCCTGCTCATTGGCTACCATCAGATGAAGGAAAGCTACCTGATATCAACCTAAGCAAGTTGTGCTTCCTTTTTCTGGTTATCTGGCTATGACTTTTCATAGAATACAGTACAGATAATTGAACAAATTATGTTGCATTACATTCTTGATTAAATTATCTTTCCACTGATACTGTATATAATTTTATGGTACTACTCCAAAACAAGTGGTGTTATTAGCCATCCAACCTCAAAAATACACTTTTCCCAAAAGGTTTCCACAATTTTGGCCACTACTGTAGTCAATCAGATTTATGTTTGCTATACAAATACTATCCTAGTCTTGCTTTTTCAGGAGGCTGTTTATTATTTTACACATACATTCCTCCTATCTTAACATAAATGAATATATTTTTTTTCAAATCCTTCTTGTAAGGAATGGGATTATAAAAGACCTTGAGAACAGAAAATCTACTCTGCCCTGGAATTCCCACACTTATCTTAGCTTCAGAAGACAAATGTTTAGTTGGGAAAACTGCACGGCATCCACTGAGTTGCATATTCTTTTTCTCTCTTTTTTTTAGGACCCTTGAATACTGGCAAAGTTATTGTGCTATGGTGAATGGCACCGGTAAGTCTGTCAATGGAACAATATCGAACATGTATTTCTGAGTAGAACACCCAACCCACATTTTGGCATGCATTAAAACAGAGTTCCCCAAACTTTTGGGATTGGTGGCCCGGAGTGGGGGGAGCGGGGAAAGAAAGGATGGTTTTATGGGAGGGATAAATGCATGCACGTGCGTATGTGTGCACATGAACACCCGTTGTTTGCACAAGAGGGGAACATAAGCGTCCACGACGCTCATGGTGACGTGAGCGCTTGCATGTGGGGCTGTAGGCACTTGCGTGTGTGGGGCCACAAACACCTGTGATGATGCTCGCGCTCTTGGGGCCGTGAACACCTGTGATGCTTGGGGTGACACTTGTGCAGGGGCGTTCAATGCCTGCGATGCTCACAGTGATGCTCGCACGAGTGGAGCTATGTACATGTATGCATGCATGTACACTGGCCAGCCACTCACACAGCCCCTGCATTAAAATAGGCAAGGTTGGAACTGAAGCCTACTTGGTAAGATAACACCCCAAAGAAAAGAAAGGATGAGAGGAATGGGAGCTAGTCATTATTTATGAATCTTCACAATATCTGGCTAAATTATTAAGCTACTTTAGGGGTCTAGAAAGGGGACAAATACTGAGTTTTGTGTAGGCTGTTGGAGTCCAACTGCATATGGATGGGATTGGTGTGATGACCTCACCATTCAAATGTCTTCATTTGGTCTGATCGTGGCTTGCAGCAGAGGCACCAAGTACACCTAACAAGGTTTTCTGAATGCGGACCAAGACACAACCCCAACATTTAGAGATAGAACATCTATCTGAGGAATGTTAAGCTTGTTCGCCGTTAGTGTTTTGTTTCAACAACTATTATCTTTCCTAAATTAATTAAAGAGCACTATAAGGGTGAGGTTTTGTTCTCTGAGCTTGTGGATCGGTTTCTGAATGTTTCATTACCAGCAGTGGTGCGATTCAGCTGGTTTGCACCCGTTCGGTAGAACCGGTAGCTAAATTTTGTTGAGTTCGGAGAATCAGCTGAACCCATGCTGCTTCTGGAAGTCCGTTCTAGGCCTCGGATGCCTGGAGGAGGTCTCCCAGACCTAGAACGGCCCACCGGAAGTGCATGGATGTCACTTCCGGAAGTCAATTCTAGGCCTCGGAGGCCCAGGCCTGCATCCACGTAGAGAACCGGATGTTCAGGTATTTGAATCCCACCACTGGTTACCAGCTTGGTAACATCTTCAGTGGAGTTTGGGGGATGTCAGTGTCAGTGTTCTTCTGTTTATAAGGGCTTCAGGTGTGTCGAGTGAGGGTCTTGTGATGGTTCAGGTGTGAATCATAAGTGAGAGGCTTGTGATGGGTCTTACGATGGAGAGGTTACATCAGGATGGGGTCATTGGGAGGTGAACCGCTGGTAGAAGGGGGTCTTGTGAGGGATGGTTGAGGGTTGGTGCTATCGCTGGCTGGCTGTGCGGTTGATTTGAATTCTGAGGGGTTCATAAGCTGATTGTAGGTCAATGTGTCTGTTGATGGAATTGCTTGTGGAGTGCCAGGCTTCTATGAACTCACGAATGTGGTGGGTGGTAGTGTGGCTGATGATTTTAGTGTTGCTCTATCCACACCAACAGCAAACAACCCCAGTGCGACTGGAGCTGGTTAGGGAACCAACCCACAAGCCTGGAGAATGAACGTTCCCCCACATCCTACCCCATAGCTACAAATATTTGACACTATTGCAAACAACACTGTTTTGGAACCTTGCTCCATCAACGTTCATTGTTAAGGTTAAAAGAAACTTCACAATCCTGGGTAGCTTCCTATGCCCTGACTAATGCCCGAGAAAAAGATTTCCAGCTTAAAGCTCTTTACAAGTCCAAATTTGCCTTCAGGTCCTAGGTGTGTAAACTCCAGGAAAAAAAATGTTAACCTGCATGTTGTAAGAAGGCTTGCCTTGGCCTCTGATAATCCAACCGTTAAAACTGAAGAGCTGAGTTGGATGAACAGGGAATCAGTCAGACCCAACCTTAGTTGTAAAGCCGTGCTTTGAATTCAGATGCAGGATTTTTGTACGAGCTGCGAGGCTCACCGTTCACAACACATTCTGATTGTAACTCAACAGATGCAGCGTCCTTCCACCCTTTTGTCGACAAGAGTGATGTGCTGTATTTCTTTTCCGCAGATATTTGCAGGTAAGGGATCTTGAGCAAATGGGGCCATTCCTTTCATTCTGAAATATAGGTACTTCTCCACGTACGATCACAACGGGGGGGGGGCAGGGTTTCTGTGGCCAAGCAAGCTGTTTGTTAAGTCAATCACCCCTGATTTTACAACCTTTTTTTTTTGCCATGGTTGTTAGGCAAAACACTGCAGAACAACAACAACAACAACAATAATAATAATAACAATAATAATAATAATAATAATAATAATAATAATAATAATAATAATAATAATAATAATAATAATAATAATAATAATAATAATAATAATAATAATAATAATAATAATAATAATAATAATAATAATAATAAAGTTGGAAGGGACCTTGGAGGTCATCGAGTTCAACCCCCTGCTCAGTCAGGAAACCCTACACCATTTCGGACAAATGGCTGTCCAGTCTCTTCTTAAAAACCTCCTGTGTTGGAGCATTCACAGCTTCTGGAGGCAGGTTGTTCCACTGGTTGATTGTTCTAACTGTCAGGAAGTTTCTCCTTAGTTCCAGGTTGCTTCTTTCCTTGATTAGTTTCCATCCGTTGCTTCTTGTCCTGCCTTCAGGCGCTTTGGAGAATAGCTTGACTCCCTCTTCTTTGTGGGCAACCCCTGAGATACTGGAACACTGCTATCATGTCCCCCCTCGTCCTTCTCTTCGTTAAACTAGACATACCCAATTCCAGCAACCATTCCTTATATGTTTTAGCCTCATAAAGAGAATGTGGCTTCCCCCGTTGACTTTGCTTGTTGGAAGCCAGCTCGGAAGGACACAAATAGCAATCATCCAATCCCAGGATGCTTCATCCGTCATAAATACATGCCCAAATTTTAATCACATGACTATGGGGATGCAGAAATGGTCATACGTGCGAGGACCAATCATAGATCACTTTTTTTTCCCAGGGCCCTTGTAACTTTTTGACGGCTTGCTAAATGAACGGTTGTAACTCAAGGACTACCTGGGATAGAATTTTGAAAAATCAGCAACATTCAACGGCAGGACGTCTGAATTAATTGAGCTGGGCTGCCTAATTGAACAAGAGGGATTGACAGCTTCTCTATTAAAACTGTAACTCAAAATCCAGTTTACCCTCGAACTGTTAGCATTCAGAGACCTTAACCGCTTCGTCACCATCTCCATTATTTCGGGAACCAATTGGGGTCCTTTGCAAAATTCTAGATTTCAAGGCCATCTGAGAAGACGCTTTGTTTTTATATGGCTATTTAGAACTTCTGCCTCCCCAAAGAATGGTGCCAATTCTGTTTCTGCCTTGGTGAGACGCCAATCACTCCTACCTCACCCAGGTGGAGAGCGATCTGATCGAAGATCCCCTCATTTTGATCAAGGAATGAGATCCAAGAGGTTAGATCAGAGGTCCCCAACCTTGGCAACTTTAAGACCTGTGGACTTTAACTCCCAGAATTTCTCAGCCAGCCAAGCTGGCTGAGGAATTCTGGGAGTTGAAGTCCACAAGTCTTCAAGTTGCCAAGGTTGGAGACCCCTGTGTTAGATGATCAACCGAGTCTTGGAGAAATGTGATTGGTGGCTACAAGATTGGTGGATGTCCCAAAGGGGCTTTTCCAAAAGGCAACTTGGACTTTGTTTTTCTTTGAAGATGTTTCGCTTCTCGCCCAAAAAGCCTTTTCAATTCTGGAGTTCTGCAGAGCTGAAGAAGCGTCTTGGATGAGAGACAAAACGTCTTCAAGGAAGAACGAAGTCCAGTTGCCTTTTGAAAAAGGACTTTTTGGGATAACCATGACCTAGATGACTGAGAATCTCCATCGACAAGATTGGTGGCTCTTTTTTTTAAATCATGGTGTATGATCCTTCATAGCGCTGCTTCATATATATATATATTTTTGCAGGTCTATCTCTGCAATATTTGATACTGAGAATACGGTGAAAGAGATCCTTCTTTATCGGTTCCCTATTTCTCCAAAGGCTTTTGCCTCGCTCGATATCAATCCGGATAATATATGCTTCTGCACCGAAATGGAGCTGAGTCGGAACTGCTCACTAAGGGGAATTCTGGATGTCAGCTCCTGCAAAGGAGGTAACAGAGGAAAAAGAGGAGGGATTGAGTAGGATTAATTGAAATGGAAATTGCATCAGAAGCTGGACTCTTGACTGTTTCACGTGTGACTTTTGGTAGCATCCAAATCAGAACTCGGCATTTTTTGATGGCATGCTCAGCCGGTGGTCTTCTGAAATCTGTTTATATCCACACCAAACAGGGCCAGATGTTGAATCTCGGAGATGATACAAAGGAGAAAAAATGTACCTAGCAGGAACCTTTTATCTCTGTCAGCCAGGGTTATCTTCTGCTCCATGGTGGTCCAAGAATCAGAATGCTTGGCCCTTCTATTTGTGTAGCCTGGTCCTTGTTAATCCATGCTCAGCACACAAGTTTTATTCCTTATAACTTTTGTGACATAGCTGTAACTAGAGGAAAGTCCATTGCAACCATTTCCTTCTCCTTCTCCTTCTCCTCCTCCTCCTCCTCCTCCTCCTCCTCCTCCTCCTCCTCCTCCTCCTCCTCCTCCTTCTTCTCCTCCTCCTCCTCCTTCTTTTCTTTCTCCTCCTCCTCCTCCTCCTCCTCCTTCTTCTTTTCTTCTTTTCTTTTTCTTCTCCTTCTCCTTCTCCTCCTCCTCCTCCTCTTTTTCCTCCTCCTCCTCCTCCTCCTCCTCCTCCTCCTCCTCCTCCTCCTCCTTCCTTCCTTCCTTCCTCCTTCCTCCTTCCTCCTTCCTCCTTCCTCCTTCCTCCTTCCTCCTTCCTTCTTCCTTCTGAAGTTTTGATTTGGATCATGTCCAATCTGCCAAGCTTACTAGGGTTGTAGTTGGTGAATAAGTTCACCAAGTGGTTTGCTGCTATCCCAAAGGTAGAAAGATCTCCAGTCTTCCATTCAGTTTCGGTAGTAGAATGGAACGTTATGATCCAAACTTGTTAACCATCTTCATTTCCTTTTTATTTCCGCAGGCAAACCAGTCTACATCACATTGCCCCATTTCCTAGAGGCGAGTGAGGAACTTTTTCAATTTGTTGAGGGACTGAAGCCAAATATGGAAGAACATATGACTTTTGTGGATGTGGAACCAGTAAGTGACTGCCAATTAAATCCGTATCCATGCCTCTTCTGTCTTAGAATGAGACCCTTGGAGTTAATTTTCAGGTTTCTGCACCAAAGTGGAAAGTTTTCTCCTAGTCCACAGTCCACAGTGCTCTCTGAGCTTGCTTGTTTCCTTGCAGATGTTGCATTACCCAAATTAGGCAACATCATCAGTGCTAGTAAGGAGGGCTGTTTGCTTACTAGCAATGATGATGTTACCTAGTTTGGATGATGAAACATCTGCAAGGAAACAACCAAGGTCAGAGAGCACCAAGGATCCAACCATCCTCCTCCTCCTCCTCCTCCTCCTCCTCCTCCTCCTCCTCCTCTTCCTAGCACTGGTGATGTTACCTAGTTGGGTAATGAAATGTCTGCAAGGAAACAACCAAGCTCAGAGAGCACCAAGATCCCCACAGTCCTCGTCCTCGTCCTCCTCCTCCTCCTCCTCCTCCTCCTTCTCCTCCCTCCTGCTCCTCCTCTTCTTCTTCTCCTCCTCCTCCTCTTCTGCCTTCTAGCACTGATAATGTTACCTAGTTAGGGTAATGAAATGTCTGCAAGGAAACAACCAAGCTCAGAGAACAACAAGGACCACTCAGTCCTCCTCCTCCTCCTCCTTCTCCTCCTTCTCCTCCCTCCTGCTCCTCCTCTTCTTCTTCTCCTCCTCCTCCTCTTCTGCCTTCTAGCACTGATAATGTTACCTAGTTAGGGTAATGAAATGTCTGCAAGGAAACAACCAAGCTCAGAGAACAACAAGGACCACTCAGTCCTCCTCCTCCTCCTCCTCCTCCTCTCCTTCTAGCACTGATGCCTCGTTTTCTAGCACTGATGACTCGTTTCAACCCTGAGCTACAAATATTCCCCTTCATTGCATGAAGACTTTTCAAGGGCCCATCAGCCTGTACTTCAAGGAGGCTTCTGGGTTGTTTTTGCTGCTTATTCTAAGCACATTTAAAAAGCAAAGCACACCAACCTTAAAAACAAACGTCCATCTCAAAATGGATGAATATCCGGTTTAAATTAATTGCAATCAGATCCCTGAAACAAGTAAAGTACTGCAGCTATGGTTTCCTGGCTAATTGGGAGTCAACCTTGTCCAGGGCTGGGGAAACCCTTCTAAACTCAGCATTTGAATGCATTAGTCGTCTGTATGCATTATTTTCCCTATTCAGTGCTGCTAATCTTTGAATATTCCCACCCGTGAAGTTCTCTGTATTTGTTCTGTTTTAGATCACAGGGCTTACCATGCACTTTGCCAAAAGGCTGCAGATAAATTTACTGGTGCAACCGAATTCAAAAATCACGTAAGTCTTGACTATTATTGGGAAAACGTCGGCCAATGGATTGTTCTACATGTAGGCTTATTAGGAGAACGGGCTTATGCGCAGCAGCATCTTGAGGTCAACCTCTGCAAAATGGCAGGCATGACATTCTTACTCAAGCTCCGCCCCCTTTCAGAAGGGGACCTTTAGGCTCTCACCATTGGCCATGCCCACTTCGCCCCCAACCAACCGCCTCAGCCTGTTCACAGCCAGCTTTCCCCATGCTGGCTCAGGAATTCTGGGAGTTGAAGTCCACGAGTCAGAAAGCGGCCTAGGCCTAGGCCAGAGGTAGGCCACCTTGGCTCTTTTATGACGTGTGGACTTCAACTCCCAGAATTCCTGAGCCAGCCACGCTGAAGGGAAAGGGAGAGGTTTCCAAGCTGAGCCATGCTGGCTCAGGAATTCTGGGAGTTGAAGTCCACGAGTCAGAAAGCGGCCTAGGCCTAGGCCAGGGATAGGCAACCTTGGCTCTTTTATGACTCGTGGACTTCAACTCTCAGAATTCCTCAGCCAGCCACGCTGAGGGGAAAGGGAAAGGTTTCCAAGCTGATATAATAATAGTAGTAGTAGTAGTAGTAGTAGTAGTAATAATAATAATAATAATAATAATAATAATAATAATAATAATAATAATAATAATAATAATAATAATAATAATAATAATAATAATAATAAAGTTGGAAGGGACTTTGGAGGTCATCTAGTCCAACCCCCTGCTCAGGCAGGAAACCCTATACCATTTCGGACAAATGGCTGTCCAGTCTCTTCTTAAAAACCTCCTGTGTTGGAGCATTCACCGCTTCTGGAGGCAGGTTGTTCCACTGGTTAATTGTTCTCATTGTCAGGAAGTTTCTCCTTAGTTCTAGGTTGCTTCTCTCCTTGATCAGTTTCCATCCGTTGCTTCTTGTCCTGCCTTCAGGCGCTTTGGAGAATAGCTTGACTCCCTCTTCTTTGGGGCAGCCCCTGAGATATTGGAAGACTGCTATCATGTCCCCCCTCGTCCTTCTCTTCGTTAAACTAGACATACCCAATTCCAGCAACCGTTCCTTATATGTTTTAGCCTCCAGTCCCCTGATCATCTTTGTTGCTCTTCTCTGCACTCTTTCTAGAGTCTTGGCATATTTTTTACATCGTGGTGACCAAAACTGGATGCACTACTCCAAGTGTGGCCTTACCAAGGCATTGTAAAGTGGTATTAATACTTCACATGATCTTGATTCTATCCCTCTGTTAATGCAGCCCAGCACTGTGTTGGCTTTTTGGGCAGCTGCAGCACACTGCTGGCTCATATCCACCAATCTCATTCATCTGAGACAGTTCCATCCACCTTATAGATAACGCCTTATCTGCTTTGTTGACCTCGTCCGTTCTTCCGAGAAATGTGTATGCTTGGCTACCAAAAAGAGACCTTTCCTTGCTGTGTTTTGCGTATTTTGAAAATGCCATTAGCTTTTTACTCAAAGGGAATAATTTAAATGAATATGGACATTTCAAATTGGGTTAGGATTGGAGGAAGGACCAAGTTGAAGCAGGCATTTTTCTCCACAAGGCAATTTCAATCGGGGGTCCAAGAAAAATAGTATAGAATTCAAATTAATGTACTGTAGCTATTTCTTGCATTTTTCACAAGACAGCCGGCCCAAAGTGAGCTGTTCTAATATTGCTTTTTTAATATATTTTTTGTTTCCTACAGAGTCCTCAAAAACATCAAGCAACACTTTCTCTTTCCTATTTTGTGGCTGAATGAGGTCAGTGGCTGTCTTTTTCAATTAATAATAATAATAATAATAAAGTTGGAAGGGACCTTGGAGGTCATCGAGTCCAACCCCCTGCTCAGGCAGGAACCCTACACCATTTCAGACAAACGGCTGTCCAGTCTCTTCTTAAAAACCTCCAGTGTTGGAGCATTCACTGCTTCTGGAGGCAGGTGGTTCCACTGGTTAATTGTTCTAACTGTCAGGAAGTTTCTCCTTAGTTCTAGGTTGCTTCTCTCCTTGATTAGTTTCCACCCGTTGCTTCTCGGGTTGCTGTAATCCTTCCTTTTAGTCTGACTCTTAGAGCAATCTGGGATCAATGTTGATAAGACAAGATAACCTTTATTGTCATTTTTTTTTTTACTGTGGGCACAACGGCACACATCAAAAATGAAATTTAGTTGCCCACTCTCAAAGTGAAACAACATACATGACACACACCTATACATACTATGTACAACTTATGTATAGACCCACACCCCTACATATACATAAGAAATAAATATTAAATACTGTTCAACTTGAATATATAATGGAAGGAGGAAGCTTGAGAGTTCACAAGGTTAATGCTGTATGGAATGAAACTATGGCTGAATCTGGATGTTCTGCTTTGGATACCACAGAGCCTTCTCCCAGAAGGTAACAAGGAAACCAGGTCGTGAAGAGGGTGTGTAGTGTCCCAGACAATCTTACGGACCCTGCTCAAGCAACACTTCTGTGCTATGTCCTGGATGGAAGGGAGGGAGCTGCCAATGATCTTTTCTGCCGTCCTCACCACTCTCTGCACCGCCTTCCCGTCTGAAGCAGTGATGCTTCCAAACCAGACTGTGATGCCATATGACAGGATGCTCTCAATCGTCCCCCTGTAGAAAGTGGTCAGGACAGGGGAAGGAAGATGTGCTTTTCTCATGTGACGCTGAAAATGCAGGCGCTGCTGTGCCCGCTTCACCAGTTTCTCACTGTTGAGCGACCAAGCCAACTAGACAGATCCCCCAAAATATCTGCTTCTATATGATCATCTACCCATCATGGAAGGACTAAGAACTTGTCTCAATTCTCTGATCAAAAATAAGATTCAGAGATCCTGTCCTTAACTTGATGGCCATCACATAACACAGTGACAAATGTCCTCCTCTCAGCTTCAATACATGACATCCATCACTGAATCCTACTGTGATCTGATTGGCTCATTGCCAAAACAAGATGACACCTGATTGGCTCTCTAAACACTCATGCTCACTGGCTGCAATCAGATGAAGGAAAGCTACCTGAGATCAACCTAAACAAGTTGTGCTTCCTTTTTCTGGTTATTTGGCTATACCTTTTCATAGAATACAGTACAGGTAATTGAACAAACTATGTTGCATTACATTCTCGATTAAATTATCTTTCCATTGATATATAATTTTATGGTACTACTCCAAAAAAAGTGGTATTATTAGCCATCAAACCTCACAAATACACTTTTCCCAAAAGGTTTCCACAATTTTGGCCACTACTTTATCTGTGCCCTCTGGGTCATCTGAATCAGAGTGCAAATGGCTGTGGAATCTTGTTAGAAATGCAGAAAGGACTGTGTGATAAACACACTGTGCGGCAGCAGCCAAACAAGCTAAAGCAATCCTTGATTACATAAACAGAGGCACAGTATCAAAACCACGTGAAGTATTAGTACCGCTTTATAAAGCCTTAGTAAGGCCACACCTGGAACACTGCATTTAGTTTTGGTCACCACATTACAAAACAAGATGTTGAGGCTTTGGAAAAAGTACAGAGAAGAGCAACTAAGATGATAGAAGTCCTGGAGACTAAAATATATGAAGAACAGTTTCTTGATTTGGATTTGGCCAGTCTAGAGAAAAGAAGGAGGAGGTGGGAAATGATAGAAGTATTCCAGTATTTGAGAGGCTGCCACACAGAGGAGGGGGTCAACTTATTTTCCAAAGCACCAGAAGACAAAACAAGAAACAATAGGTGGAAACTAATCAAGGAGAGAAGCAACCTGGAATTAAGGAGAAACTTCCTAACAGTGAGGACAATTAAGCAGCACAACAACTTGCCTTCAGATGTTGCAGGTGCCCCATCACTGGAGGTTTTAAAGAAGAGATTGGACAGTTATTTGACTGAAATGGTATAGGGTCTCCTGCTTGAGCAGGGGGCTGGACTAGAAGACCTCCAAGGTCCCTTCCATCTCTATTATAATTCTGATTCTGATTCCTGTCTACAACGTAGATGAAATTCTGGATGGCTTCCTTCTGGATGACAGGAAGTCATTTTGACCATCGGGAGATGTTGCTTTGCTTTCTCCTTGCCTTCTTGCTATATTATTAACTACAAGGATGAAGATACAATACCTACCCCCTGACCTACGTACAACTGTGGACCTGCACCTTTTTCGCCGAGCCCTGAAAACTCATCTATTTTGTGCGGCCGGCCTGGCGTAGTCTTAATTAGGTTTTAGTATAGGTTTTTTATGGGGTATTTTAGAGCAGGCCTTTATTTATTTAATTTGATTTTAGAATAGATATTTATTGTGATTTTTATTATCGCCTGTTCACCGCCCTGGGTCCCGTAAGGGAGATAGGGCAGTATACAAATCTAAATAAACAAACAAACAAACAAACAAACTTGGCCATTCTCATTAGCGTTTCGCTCTCATTGCTAACTGGGGAAGGGGCACATCTCTTGAAAACCTAGGACTGTAGAAGTTCTTCTCCTCTCCTGTACCCCAAAAAAATATTTTAAAAGAGACTGAATTGCAATTTTTGGCCTGGCTGAAGAGATACTCTGTTAAACACATGGGAACTAATAGTGTTCATTATCCTTTTTTTTAAAAAAAAAAATTAAACCAGATTTAATGCTTGTCCTGATCCCAGTTCATTTTTATGTTGGTTCTCCTCTCTCTCTCTCTCTACTGCTTTTTTATCTGATGCCCGAGAATTAATTTGTTACTTGCAATAGTCTTCCTTCCTGTTGCAGTTGGGCCCTCTATTTTACGCAAAATTGTGCAAATTGCAAGATAGCTCTTCTTTGGGGATGGAGTGTTGAGTATTGAGCCAGTGTTCTTCTGATGCTAAATATTTTTCTCCCTTTTCTCTAGACGGCTGTGATCAGTGACGAGAAAGCAGAACTCTTCCGATCAAAAGTGACCGACAAGATCAAGTTGCTGAACATCATGCAAATATTGCTCATCACTCTTGGTTGTGTGATGTTCCTGGGATTCCTCATTGCCTTTTTCGCATGCAGAAGAAAGACTTCCAAATAAGTAATCTAAAATAGGATTGGGAATTTAGATAAATTAATTCAGCTCCACCAGATTCTGGGTGGCATTGGACATTAAAAAAATAAAGTGAGAAGCAAGAAAACAAACAAACAAGAAAAGAACAATGGATCTCCAGGCAAACATTCCAACTAGCAGATCAAATTCTTGAACTGCCCAGGTTTTAGGCAATATCCTAAACATTAAACATCTCCAGAGGATGCCGTTGCAGCTGGCAGGCGCTCTGACGGCACTACAGATAGACCTTGATTGACGGCCACAATTGAGCCCAAAATTTATGATGTTAAGCCAGACATTTGTTAACTGAGTTTTGCCCCATTTTACCACTTTGCTTGCCACATTTGTTAAGTGTATCACAGCAGTTGTTAAATGAGCAACACAGTCAGTGGTGGGATTCAGCCGGTTCGCACCACTTCGGCAGAACCAGTAGCATAAATTTTGTTGAATGCACACCACTTCTGGAAGTCTGTTCTAGGCCTCAGAGGCCTGGAGGAGGCCTTCCAGGCCTAAGAATGGCCTGCCGGAAGTACGTGGATGCCACTTCCGGAAGTCCATTCTAGGCCTTGGAGGCCCAAGCCTGCATCCACCGGTTGTTCAGTATTTGAATCCCACCACTGAACACAGTTGTTACGTAAATCTGGCTTCCCCATTGACTTTGCTTGTCAGAAGGTCGCAAAAGGGGATCACGTGGCCCCAGGGGGACACTGCGACCGTCATAAATGTGAGCCAGTTGCCAAGTGTCTGAATTTTGAACATGCGATCACAGGGTTGCTGCTACGGCCGTCCGTGTGAAAATCAATCCTAAGTCACTTTTTCTTTTCCAGTGCTGTTGCAACTTCAAACGGTCACTAAGCAAATTGTTGTAAGACGAGGGTAACCTGTGACCCATTACTCAGAAATTTTGTTTTTAACCAAGTGACTTTTTTATTTTTAAACTCTCAAGTTTTCACTTCATACATTTGAAGAACAGAGAGTGGAAAACCTTAAAACGATTCTCTAGTTGAACGTCGAATGTAATTCACTTCTGGGCTTCATCCATGGAAAGTATATCCTTCAACTGCAAATAGGCAATTTGGATTTTTTTTTTTTTATTTGAAAGGAAAACAGATGAATTTGTGTATTTTGTTTAGCTATCGGACTGACCCGCGGCAAGACTGTGTAGTTCAGGTATTGGCCAGCTGGGGGCAATGCTGCATTTCCATGAAAATGGAAATTATTATTTTTTTTATCAGAAAGCAAAAGTCAAAATTATAATACCCCCTTACATGCAGCAACATGACTTTAATAGCAAGTAATTTATCTCAAGACCAAAATTATTATTGTCAAACAAATAAAAAGATGGATATTCTTCCTTCCCTTTTCACTCGTTGTATTTCATTTTGAAGACAAGTTGAATAATTGTGATGCTTGCAACGTGAACATTTGAAACTGTAATTAATGTTGATAGATTGTCTTACCTTTTTTTTCTTTTATCTGCATTTGATACTCAAATCTGATACAATATTAAAAATCTAAGCATATTTTATAAACACACATTGAAATAACACCGTGTACTAAAACTGAGAAGATAGAGCAATGGATGGCTTCTATGGCTAGATTTAATAGTATGTTAAAGGACTGAGTATTTCTGTATTAACATTTTATAGAGATACTTTTAGTTTCTACAGATATCACTCACTTATTCATTCTACTNAGAGAGAGAGAGAGAGAGAGAGAGAGAGAGAGAGAGAGAGAGAGAGAGAGAGAGAGAGAGAGAGAGAGAGGTGTAAATTATATTAGCTCTCTATTAAAATCAGTTTGGGACATTTGAAAAGAAGCCACATCAGAATGCAGCTTTAAGATTTTTGGTTAGTCTTTCAGAACTGTGACGAGGGTCCTCCATCATCCAACTGGTCCAAGATCTTTGAAAGATATGATTCCATGGTTCCAAGATCACGTCTGCCAGCTCCTTCAGAATACTTGAGCAGAGCAGATTTTGGTTCTGCTTTATCTAGCAGTGGTCTAGATCAAAGGTCCCCAACCTTTTGAGCACCAGGGACCAGTTACACGGAGAGAGATTTTTCCGTGGACCGAAGAGTGCGTGATTTTGTGTGCTGCCTGCATCCCGTGGATGGGGCTTTGTTTGTTTGTGCAGCCTGGTTGCTGGCATGCTGCGGCCCGGGATCGGTCCATGGACCGGAGGTTGGGGACCCCTGGTTTAGGTCAGTGGTCCTCAACCTGTGGTCCATGGACCTCTAGGGGCTGTGATGCTGTCACAGGGATTCCAGGAAGGCTTGAAGAAATATTATAATTTAAATCTTGAGTTAAGTCTTGGTGCTCCATGGCTATGGTCCATGGCCACAAAAGGTATTTAAAGGAGGTCCATGTTGAAGAAAAGGTTGAGAACCACTGGTCTAGATAAGAAGCTTCAAACTTTTTAGGCCATTAATCTAGTTAAGTCAAAACAAAACAGCTTCTAGAACCTTGACCAAGAGGCAAAACTCTAGTGGTGGAAAGTTAACTAAGTCTGAACAATTTTGTCTGTAGTTTCTCACGGAACCCCATCCCAGCGTAACCCAGTTTGAAAAATCTTAGTCGAGATGTCTAGATTGTGTTCTTGATGTCTAGATGTCTTGGTCTAGATATCTAGAATGTCCAGGAGATGCTTCAATGTCACTTGTTGACATTTGCTAAGATCCCAACAACTCTCTGATAGAAAAATGTCTCTCTTTAGAGAAGAGCGTATATTTTTGTCTACTCAGGAACGTGTTAAATGCCAGCTTTTTGCATCTGGAATTGTAGGGGTCCAAAATCAATTGCATGCTTGGTAAGTTGCTTCAGTCCTGGTGGGGTCATTTGATTCCTGAGGCGTGAACCCATTTGCATGGCAGCAGAGAATTTGAACCCCTAAGTACTGCTCTCCAGAAACAGCAGCTGTTGAGTGAGTTAAGCCAACTAAACTAAGGGTGGAGGCAATAGGAAGGGGGGGGGAGCCTCTGTGTTCACAGCTGCATTAGCACATCATTGCAAAAAAGAAAAAGAAAAACGAATCTTTTCAAGTCAGTCCGAAACTTCTTGACTTGGACTTATTTCAATCTCAGGACTTTGCTAACAAAATTTGCAATAAAAGCTTCACACAAATATGAATCTTCTTGGGACTTCACTATTGCTTCACTGTACCACTTTATCTTGCCTAATGTCTGAACAGGGCAGCTGGTTGATTATTACTGAGTCTGGAATGTGTAAGCTAGGTTTGAAAGTTCCTGAGATGTTTATGGACCTGGGAATGGAATGGAATGGGATGGAATAGAATAGAATAGAATAGAATAGAATAGAATAGAATAGAATAGAATAGAATAGAATAGAATAGATATTGGAATATGGAATGGAATGGAATGGAATGGAATGGAATAGAATAGAATAGAATAGAATAGAATAGAATAGAATAGAATAGAAATAAACAATGGAATAGAATAGAATAGAATAGAATAGAATAGAATAGAATAGAATAGAATACAGCTGGAAGGGACCTTGGAGGTCTTCTAGTCCAACTGCCTGCTCAGGCAGGAAACCCTATACCAGTGATGGCGAATCTTTTAGAGACCGAGTGCCCAAACTGCAACCCAAAACCCACTTATACATCATTGGGTGCCGTGTGGGTGTGGCCCATTGGGTGGGCGTGGCTGCAGTGGTAACGGCAGACTGGGTGGGACTAAAAAGTTCAATCAATCAATTCCAACTTTGCAAGATCTTTTTTTTTCCCACGAGAAGTTGAAATTGACTGATTGATTGAACCTTTTTTTTTTTTTTTTGCACACGGCAGTGGAGGCCTAAAGTGAAAAGGTTTTATAAAACGCAGCTGAAGGCCTAGGACTGGGTCGATGGCGCACGTGCCCACAGAGAGGACTCTGAGTGCCGCCTCTGGCACCCCTGCCAAAGGTTCACCACCACTGACCTATACCATTCCAGACAAGTGGATGTCCAGTCTTTTCTTAAAAACCTCCAGTGATGAAGCATCCACAACTTCTAAAGGCAAGCTGTTCTACTGCTTAATTGTCCTCACTGTTAGGAAGTTTCTCTGTAATTCCAGGTTGCTCCTCTCCTTGATTAGTTCCCATCCATTGTTTCTTGTCTTGTCTTCTGGTGCTTTGGGAAATAAGTTGACCCCCCTCCTCTTTGTGACAGCCCCTCAAGTATTGGAATATTGCTCACGTGTCATCCCTAGTCCTTCTTTTCTCTAGAGTTGAAGGAGTCTAGACTAACCATACCAAATTCCTTCAACCTGTCTTTATATATTTAATCTCCAGGCCCTTAATAATATTAGTTGCTATTCTTTGCACTTTTTCCAAAGTCTGAACATGTGGTGACCAAAACTGAATGCAGTATTCCAGGTGTGGTATTACTAAGGCATTATAAAACGGTACTGATACTTCATGCGATTTTGATTCTCTGCCTCTGTTTATAAAACCAAGGATTGTATTAGCTTTTTCTGGCTGCGTCCACACACAGCTGGCTTATATTTAAGCAATTGTCCACTGGGACTCCAAAGTCCCTCTTTTATCCAGAATTTTGGCATTGTCAGTTGATGGATGCTTTGCTGTCTAAGAGGAGAACATTTTTGCCTGCTGCTCATGGATCAATATATTGGTATTTTTGTCTGTAGAAATTGTTCTCCTCTAAAGACAACTCTGCATATCATCTGGAAAGAAAAATGTGATTGTGCTGTGTCTAACATCTGGAATTTTGAGTTCGTCTCTGCTTTCCATAAGAAATAAACAGAAAACTCTGCTTAGAAGCAGATAGCAGGAACAGAAAGCAGCTGAGGGAATCCTCCTGTAGCAAATCTTACAAAAAGAAAGAAAGAAAGAAACGGAGAAAGAAAGAAAGAAAGAAAGAAAGAAAGAAAGAAAGAAAGAAAGAAAGAAAGAAAGAAAGAAAAGAAAAGAAACTCATTGACAATCCATCTAGAAAAATGTTTAAAAGAGGAGGGGGGGAAAAGATCTATT